GGACTTGACATCGAAAATTAAGCTCACAAGCGCATTTTTTAGAAAATTCTACTAGAAAAGTGGCTTTATTACTGGCTTTAACATCGAAAAACAAGCTTAAAAGCGGATTTTCAGGAAGCTTATAAAAATGTTTATAGAATTTTATTAGGAAACTGGGAGTGACACAGGAATAGTGACTTCATTACTGATTCTAACTATGACTTGTCTAGAACATTTCAGTGTGCTCTATTTAGAAATTTGACTTCGCCACAGAGCTTTCGATGTGAAATCAAGCTTCTAGAATATTCTATAGTAAATACACGACAGCAAAAAGCCAAAATGATGTAAGTTATTCAAGAAATTGGAAGATAAATGACTAGAAGAAGACAGATAGAAAAACAAGAAGAATAAGACCGAAGACAGAAAGAAAATCAAGAAGGAGAAGCCCGGAGATAGACAGAGAAGCAAGAAGATGGCCAAAGACAAAAAAAAAAAAACAGGAAGAAGAAGACCGAAGAAAAAAATAAGTACAGGACCGGCTTGCAGCACTTTTACAAAAACAAGGACATCAAATACAGAAAGAAAAACACGCAGAACAGGGCCGAAGACAGAAAGAACAGGACCGGCTTGTAGCACTCTTACAACAACAAGAAGATCAATTACAAATGAGAAACAAGAAGAAGACCGAAGGCAGAAAGAAAAACTAGACGAACAGGGCCGGCTTCAGGAAAACTTCAAATTTTAGCGAGAATGGATTTAAACCTTAATATCTAAGGAACAAACTAGACTCAAGAAAGTTCTGGAAGTGCAAGAGGTAGGAAGGAACTTGAAGAAGTTGGGAGTTTTCAACAGAAAGTTGAAAGTGTTCATCAGGAAGTTGGAACTATTCGTCAGGAAGTTCGCCAAAAAATGGATAGTTTTGAGAAGCAGATTAAAAAATTGGAATATGACTTGAAGTCAGGAAATGTCTCGGCGTCGCCTACAACTGGTATTAAAGTTTTAAGCCACCACCATATGACGGACAGGACAGACATCGTGGGCCATGTATGTACAGGGTGGCGCAAATTCGAGCCTCATCATTGGGATCTCGCTAACCGTAAGAGATACAGGGTCTGTTAAATAATGGCAAAGTTGCGCAATTTTATGACCAATAGAATGCCGTTTTGAAACTAGGAAGATTCCGAATACTTTCGGAAGTATTCGGAAAAAACCGAAATTTTGTAAAATCGTTTTTATTTTTTCCTGGGCTTATTTGAAGAGCAATTTTAAAATAAATGTCACTTCGTCATTGTCACTTTTTCCCCTTTAGAAGATGGAGCTACTAAATTTGAAATTCGACGTTTCGTCTTCAGGCGGCCATCCTCAACTTCCTTTTTTTTAAATACGGACCTGGATTTTTTATTTGCGATTTTGTCATCTTTGGGCATCCTAAAACCGATACTGTTTATAGTTTTTCAAAAACAAAGTAAAAAAAGCAGGTCCGTATTTAAAAAAAATGAATTGATGATTCCAGAGGAACGAAACGTTGGATTTTAAATTTAATACCGTTATCTTTTAGAAAATAAAAAGTGACAATGGAAATGTAGAATTAGTTTTTCACAATCTTTTCAAATAAAATCAGGAAAAAATGAAAACTATACGAAAAAAACATGAATTTCTCGTTTTTCTTAAATTTTTTCCTGATTCCATTTCAAAAGATTTTGAAAAAAGGAAGTTGAGGATAGCCGCCTGAAGACGAAACGTCAAATTTTAAATTTAGTAGCACCATCTTCTAAAGAGGAAAAAGTGACAATGATGAAGTGACATTTATTTTGAAATTGCTTGTCAAATAGGCCCGGGAAAAAATAAAAACGATTTTACAAAATTTCGTTTTTTTTTTTTTGAATATCTCCGGAAGTATTCGGAATCATTCTTGTTTCAGAGCGGCATTCTATTGGTTATAAAATTGCGCAACTTTGCCATAATTTAACCGACCCCGTATCTCTTACGGTTACCGAGATCCCAATGATGAGGCTCGAATTTGGGCCACCCTGTACAGACGTTAATTCGAGACTATTGCAATAGCTATTGGCTGGGGTTCCGATGACATGGCTACAGGCTTGATCGTAGCATTGCGTGGCCTTATACCTTAGACCTATTAGAGACTCTTCCGCTAGCTTCCCAAAAAAACTATATGGTGGTCTTGTCGATGCGTTAGAGCATCGCTATGGAGATCAACACCGAAGGCAGCTCTACCAGGTATATTTGAGAATAAGGCAACAGAAAGCTGCAGAAAGCAATCAAGAATTTGAAACCGACTTCTGCAGGTTGGTTAATTTGGCCCACTCCAAAGCAGCAGTAGAAATGCGAGAACAACAAGTGGCCGCAAATTTTATATATGGAGTTAGAGATACGGATGTACAGAGAATACTGCTCAAAACCAACCCATCAAATAGAAGCGAAACTCTAATCAAGGCCTTAGAAATCGAGGCGCAACATATGATTGCCAAAGCAAAGATTAGAGCTGTGTCGATTCGTGGAGAAAAAGAGCCAATGGGAGATATTAACGACACCATAATAAAGGAATTTCTGGAAGATATACTGAAGGTAATCAGAATCAAACTAGAAAATTTAAAAGGGAGCATTAAATGTTGCCGCTGTGGAAGAAAAGAACATTTCAAGCATGATTGTAGAGTACGTTTGAGATCTCAGTTTTCTTTTAATGACACTCAGCCTTCAATGGCTTACTTGAACAAAAACTCCTTGCTGCGGATAAAGAGGACATTTCAAAAGTTACTGTAGAGTGCAACTGAGATTTCGCTCTCCTTCTGATAACTGTCAACCTTCGATCGAGAACTTGCAATGCCGAGCATACCAAAATCAAGACAAGAGCTCCTAGAAAGAGCTCCTGATAGAAACTTTCGATTGGATGCGGATCAAGAATGGAATCCCGAACAGCTGGGAAGTGAACAACTGGAATAGAGTGACCTCAACATCGAATAATTTTTTGAGATTAGGGAAGCCGAGGATAGCTTAACGAAATGTAGGAAAGAAAAATCCGGCAAATGAAGAAAGAAAGGTGCTGATCCAGAAGGTCAAAGTTATCCTTCAACCGTTCGCTCTGCAATTTCTATGAAGTGCAGTGCTACGAATGCTGCGACCATCTTCGAAAGCTCAGAAAGAGCAGTTGGCAGCATCGCAATCAGGGAACAGGATCAGGCTCAGGACTCTTTGTCATGTAGAATTCTACATATCGACAGGATTCTGTTGGCTCGGCCCTCTGTGCGGCATGCGGATAGGTTTCGATATATCGAATTCTACTTGGTACGGAGTCCCATTGCAGGTACTTATTCGGCTAGTATCCTGACGTCAATCCAACGGAAGAAGAGCCACGCTTACACGAGGGTAGATCTGGGAAGTCAGGAAGTTCGAGCGGTATAAGGCTTTGCGTTCAGGTCGCTGTCCACTTAGAAAGGCAAATGGATGTTAGGCAAAAAAAGATATTAAATCTAATCTGATTGTTACGAAATTGCCTCTGGAATCCGGTTGGATTCTGAGAATGGCGCGCTGCGCGGACAATTCAGAGAATTCTACGCCCGGGTACACAATCTGCTATAAATAGCGCGTAGTAGTACCTATTAGGTGGATGTCAGTTTTAATTCGATATTTGTCGTGTACGTTTCGAATAGTGATAAGTGAGTTTTATAAAGTTAATTAGTTGTTAGGAACTGTTTGTGTCACTTAGTAAGTTTTAGGGAACCCGGAATTCGTGACATTAATATAGATTTACCTTAGCTAGTTTATAGCCAGTGCAGGCCCGAGGTTACTTTCAGGATAGAGCGGGATCCTACTTTGGCGCCCCTATTTTAAAAGTGAATTGTATACCTACTCTATTCACTGATATAAAAAATGTCTTAAAATTCAATACATCATTTGCCTCATTTACTGTGTTCGGCCACGTGAATATACCCCTTACACTGAAGAAAACAAAGGGAATAGTTACCTATGTCATTAGATAAAAAAAGTGGGTTGCTAATTTTAAATAAATAAGCAGAGCATTGGGCTAGTACAACCCACCCGTCTCCCTATTTACCTCTAAGATCTACCTACCCTGGGCTTCAGCTCCTGTTTATGACTATTGAATAGTAATAAAATGCAAATAAATTCCTTATATTTATGAATGAAATATATGCTCGAGCATGAATTTTGATCATTGTTATGGTGAATCTTCCCTCCATGAAACTATGTTGTCCATTGATAATGACATTCTTAAAATGTGAGGTGATTTTATCTGCAACAAAACCTTCAAAAACTTTGACTACCAAGGACCCCTTTGATATTTCTCGATAATTTTCAATGTCTGATTTGCCTCTATTATTAAAAACTGGAATACCATAGGATTTTTTCCAGGTTGCTGGATATGTACCAGTAGACAATGATATATTAAAAATATTAGACAAAATTTGAGAAAGAACAAACCTGCAGCGTTCTAGGAAAACAAACGGTATACCATCTGGCACAACACGGAGACTCTAGACTCTGCTTTAATTTGCAAATTCTGTCAAAAACATCAAGTATAGAGATAGCTTAAGCTACCGAAGATCAACCATCCTCTCCGATTCAAAATTTGGAAACATTACGTACAATATATGTCATTACATTTTTTGAAGTGTTGTTACCAACTGAATGGCCAGCGGGAAATTCAAATTCCAATTAAGTCAATCCGACGCCGAATATTTTCACGGTTGGCGATAACGATTGTAAAAATGGCGTCATCGATGTCACAACTACAAGTTTATTTGGTATGAACTATATCTATCTAATCACATGCTAATCACACGCTTGCTTTTTTTCCTTTTTATGGTAGGGCCAGCCCTGTTTATAGTTATGAAATAGTAAATTATAACTTCAAAGAATGACATGAAATCAGCTGTGTCTGTGTCTGTCAGCAAATATATATTTATACGTATCAGAAAACTGGACAAACCTACACAATTTCTATTTGAAAAACTTCACCACTAACATCTAAATCCATTTTCCAGGCATTATCTTTATCGCTCGATACACCCAGATCATTCTCGGACATTTCATACGGAGGCTTTGCCGGATATTCTAGTGGAAGACAATTGACGAAAGTTAAGAAATTTTTAAGCACCCTAGTGCAATTTGGAAACGACATTAGCTCAGATGTTGGGGAGAGAGTTAAAAGCCTGGTTTTGAATCTAGTTGTAAGTATTTATTTTTTAATTATATTAAGTACTTTTAATATCGTTGATTATATTTTTTAGAGTTCAAATTTAAGCATAGAAGAGTTCCACCATTCCCTACAAGACGTCACAAATTTTCCTCTGCGGCAGTTTGTTTTACCATTTTTAAGAACTCACATGCCATTACTGCAAAGGGAAATTCACGCTTTAGCCAGAGTCAATAAGCAGGTAAACACCCTATATAGTTTAAATTTAAATAAATAAAAAAACAATTCGTATTTTCGTTTAAATGAAACGCGATCGTGAGAAAGCACGGTTTGGGGTTTTTAAAAGAAAGTCTTATTCTTCAATTCGTCTGGGGCCTCCCAGAGAAAATTAATGGAAAATAAATAGAAAACGGCGGTTAAAGAAAAACTTCTTTGCGAGAACAGTTACATAAAACATGAAGCTTACTTTGTTGGCGATGCGGCGACACAAGGGGCAAATGCAAAGCTTTTTGCGTTTTACTAAAAAATGGATCGATTAAATTTTCATTTAAGTTTTAATAAGAAATGAGTGTCAGATGTGGATGACATTCGTGCTCTCACGATGACGTTTCATTAAAGCAGAACATTTATTTATTAAAGGAATCGAGGTTGTCATTGCAGAAGGCTCAATGGCCCTATAAACGAAACAATTTTCAATTATGGCTTAATAAAATTTTAAGTATAAAGGTGATACACATAAAATAGTTGTGTTGTAACTAGTAAAAGCTGTTTCTACAAGATGTTGGAAAACTTTCTAAGTAAACCTCTAAATCGATTTTGGGTTTATAGCCAACTTTAATTTTTTATGTCTTTTGTTGTAAAATTGTTCGACAAAACTTTATTTTATTTTGTATGCGTAAAATGTATAGGTAATTGACGGATTTATATAATTCTCATTACTATTTTAGTCCGCTTTGCAATACGTCAGAAGTCACGATCATGTGATTTTAGAACCGACACACTCGCCCTCTGAAGCTGCTGAAATTTTCATGCCTAATGAAACTTCTCCTTTGACTGGGATCAAAAGAAGATCACCAGAAGGGTAAGTACAGATCGGAAATTTTGATCGGTTTTCTATCCAAAAATATTACATTATAAAAGGATCTTTTTAACAGTAGCGAAAATTATTGATTCGTATAATACTGGATTCATGATCCATATATTTTTCCATGTCTCTTCGGCGTTTTCTGTTTTCATCGGCAGTTATTTTAGATTGATCTCAGGTTCTATGTTTGATACCTCATCTCAATCATTCAGCATGTCTTAACTCAAATTTCATGATAGCGGTACACCAAGATCCGACCTGCAATGTTTGAAACCGAACATGATAGATTGTGTTCTTCCTCTTCTTAAAATACCATACAGCTTCCTCCGTAGGCGTCCATTGTTTTTCCTATCAAATATTTCTATTCAATGCAGCGGTTTGTAGTGGCTGGGAGTTCTGTATTCCTGTCCACTGCCGCACATTCCGTAGTCAGGATAGCTTCTTGCTACCTATTGCCTCCATTCCTCCTTTATTTTTGCCTTGAAGGACAAGGCGCTGAAAGCGAGCAACGTTCTGAGGAAAACCACCTATTTAAAATATTATTTTTTTGAATCTTATCAAAAAAAAACACGTTTACGGAATCAAAGTAAATGTTGCAACCATGTAGGCGCCGTCAGGTTTAGGTTTGAACGGGGTGCGCCACAGAAAACGAAGGTACCGAAATCGAAGGGGATACAAGGAAATACGCAACTAGGCTAGAGAACAAGCTGGGCTGGTCCTTTAGACGCGTGTCTGTAATTATTCATTATTCAATTTTTATTTTTATTTTGCATTAAACTGATTATTCAATCCAGTTTGTTCTTAGTGTGTGTGTCAAGGAGCGATCACAGGTCAGTTGAATAATTGTTATTTTATTTTTGAGAGTTCAATTATTTATACAAGTATCATTTTTTTCATTTTTAGGTTTTTTTGTTTGTTTATAACATTTTTTGAAACATAGGCATTGTTCATGTATTTAACAAGAATCGTTTCATGCTGTAAACAACACAGATAAAGAAGTAAATTAAAACCTAGGAAATTATGCTGTCTTTTTGTGCTGAGATCTTGATATTGTGTATTTAGAACGTGCATTAAGGCCTTGGTGAATTTACTAACATTTTCCTACCCTAACGAGCGAATATCCTACCAAACAAAGAAAAGATATATTGGATCAAAATAACAACTATAGCTGGGTAGCATCCCGTATGGGACCTCAGTACCCTCCGGCAGACCGGCTAACTAATCAAAAACTCTTCAGTATTGATTATAGGTAGTGTTGATTGAATGTAGTGTGTGTAATTAAAATTTTAGCACAAGAACTGGGGCGGTACCTAGTTTCAACTTTTATTGAATTAATGACTCACAATTAATGTTAAAAGTATAAACAGTATGTTTCGATTTTTGTGGAATGTTAGATCGCGGGTTTCTCTGCCGTGCTCTTTCCCCTCGTTAGTTCCAGGATGAGAACCAAATATTTGCTATGTCTGGCGCAAGTCCAGTAAGTAAAATTGAGAAGTTTCCACAACGTAGGTTCTATTTGTTTTTCATTTCATTTTTCAGAAGATTTGTTGTTTAAAAGGTAATAAAAAGTCACACTGTTCAATCTTGCTGTACGAACCCGGGTATGTTATACAACAGTTCTCCGCGTATTATGTGTCCCAGATAAGATATTTTTTTTGCGCTTTATGGTTTCGAAGTGTTCCAATTCTAGCAGTTCAGTCCTTCGGATAACCTCTTCATTTTTGATGTGATCGACCCAAGGTATTCTAAGCATCCGTCCCAAGGTCAACATTTCGAAAGCTTCGATTTTGTTTTTGGTGGTTAGTAAAGTATTTATGTCTCTACTTCGTATAGGAGCACCAACCAGATACAGTTTTGCATTCTGTATCTGAGTTCAAAGCTCAAGTTTTTGTCTATGAGGAAGTTTTGAAGTCTTAGGAAGGTTGATCTTGCCTGTTTTATCCTGCATCGTATCTCTTTCTCCGGATACCAACTTTCATTCAGCATGCATCCCAAATATTAAATGTTTGTAACGTACTTAACTTGTTCAATATTTTTTCTTTTATATCTATTAGATAATGTCTACTCACAATCATCAACTTCGTTTTGCCAATGTTAATGCCCAGTGCCTTACTTACTTCATTAATTTGATTCAGTAGAGTGTGAAGATCTTCTGCATTGTCTGCTAATATTGGGGTGTCGTCTGTATATCTGATATAGATTGAACAGCATTGGAGACAAGATACATCCTTGTCTGACACCTTTTTTTATTTCAACTTCGTTTGTTGTTGTTGTTATTCCGCATTTTGATTCTAGTAAAGACTACCCAATAAACCTTATGTCATTATCACCCAGTCCTAATTCTCCAAGACACGATATCAAAAGTTATGTATAACATTTTCAAATGCTTTCTCGTGACATCCTTTCTTTGATCTTGACAATTTTGCACCAAGGTCTGCAGACTGAATATAGCTTCTTTATAGTTCCAAAGCCGCTCCTAAACCTAAACTGACTAGTTCCGCTAACCTTTACGCATTTTTTGTAGAGTCTTGTGTGTAGAATTCGAAGAAAGATCTTCAGAAAGTGACTCACGAGACTAATGAGACGATAATCCTTACATGCTTTTAGGTTATTTGTTATGGGTAGTATAATAAACGTAGAGCGGACCCAGTCCTCGGGATAATATCCAGTGTCATATATTTTGTTGAAGAGCTGCACTATTGTTTTTATGTTTTGTTTGTTGATTTAGTGGAAAGGTCTCTGAATACATGTCATCAGGTCCCGGAGCCTTGTTGCATTCTATTTGATTCATGGCATATAGGACTTCACTTTCTAATATTTTTGGTCTCGGTAGCTAGTACCTTCCACTTTGACTGGTGAACTTCTGGTTTGTTGTCATCAAAAAGGTTGGTTGGTCTTCCACGTTTCCAATAGTCTTATTCAGGGTCTGTGATTATTTCATTGTGCTCATCTATAATGCAATTTATTGACTTTTTGTTGTATAGTTCAGCAGATTGAAGCTGTCTCCAAAACGGTTTAGATATTCGACCTCTGAGCATCTTCTACTTAGCCATTTTTCTATTGGCATTCTGATTTCATTGCGGATCTTTCTCTGTTTGTATTTGTATCCATCTTAATCATTCAGAGTTTTACACTTACTCATCTGTTCCAATAGATAGTTTCAGATTTTCCTCGGTCATCCATTCGTTTTTTGTTCTTATTTAATTCTTTTAGAGTTTCCTAGAATTTTGTTTGTTTTCGAGCCAGTGTTTTTTTGTGTCATATGTAGCGATAACCATAGATTGAGATAACACCTGCTGGTGTACCATTTATTTGGTCTTCGTAAATCAGTCCCGTTTGTTCGTCTTCGAGTAATTTCGGGTCGATTATCTTTTAAATATTTCGCCTTTCAGGTTTGGTGAGTCGACGTTTGATGTTGTCGTATAGTGGATTATGATCTGATTCAATATCGGCTCCTGGCATTGTGGAAACCTTAGTTATGAGCTTAATAAATCTTATGTTTATTTTGATGAAATCTATTTAGTTACGCACTATATGTGTTGTGGAGATGTCCATGTATAAAACCGTCTAGGTGGTACTTAATACCATTTGTTCGTTAATCGTTATTATGAGATCTTCCGAACTTCCTCTTCACCAATATTCAATTAACGTCTGCTCTTCATCATTTCTTCCACCAAGACCGTAGTCTCCTAATGTTATATTCTGAGATTATATTCTTCCTCTGCCAACCTTGTCATTAAAATCTCCCGATATCAAGTTTGTTTCATAGAGCTTGGTCAACTTGTTTGTAGAAATCTTCCGTGCCTTAGTCTGGTTAATCTGCGGAGGTTGTAAACTTGGATTAAGTTGATGTTAGGTCCAAAAAGCGGGCACTGCGCTTAGCATTAGAAAATAATTGACATGGTAAACTGTTTCCAGATTTCAGTGTGATTATATGTCGGTGTAGATATTCAGAGCACCGAAACATGTCTGTATAGTTGAATCCGCAACAATAACTGGACTGGGTACTTGTTTGCTATGATTCGACTCTCAAATTATTTTGATACCCAGTCTAATATCACACTGTTGATTTATTGAAATCGGTTTGATGAGAAACGACAAATGTTCCTGTTTTATCATCGTCCTGAGAATCGAAATGAATAAAGAAAGCCAGTAATTTATCTGGCGTTGTATCACTAGGAGCTAGGAGCTGTTTTCATGTTGAAATAGTTATTAACGTTATAAGGCCGATAAGTAGCAAATAACGGCCGGGCTGAAGTTTGTGTTAGTTTCTTTATCGGCCGTGTTTCGTTCTAAATTTTTCGTTATACTGCAGATATTTTTCAATCTGACAAAAAAAAAACACTCTCCCGGTCAGCGGCCGGTATTTTAACGGCCCGCAGCCGTTAATTTAACGGCCGGCGGCCTGTTATTTATATTCAACTGATCGGCGAATAAATAACGGCCCGCGGTCGGTTGAATATACCTTCTCGATTTCAATTCCGCTCATGTTATATTAAGGTAACAGTACAGTATCACGACAAATAAATAACAAAACTATAATACAGGGTGTCCTTAGATAAACTGACACATTTTGCAGGTGAATATCTCGAAAACGGGAAAAGATAACTAGATGCGGTTTGTTCTGGGAGAATAAGGAATTTTTAAAGTTTTTTTTCACATTATTGCCGAATCCTAAAATTTGCTGAAATTTGGTTTCACAGACATGCGATTTTTTGAAATAAAATGACTGCCTTATTTTTAATGAAACACCCTGTATATTTTATCATCGTCAGAAAGCCTGTTTTTTCTACTTTACCAAAATGTATAATTTTTTCAAATTATCTTGAACTTTCATCGTAAAAATTGCACTTTGTCGAAGAGTGTACCATCGACTGGCCAAAACAAAATTGGTAATTAATTTTTGTTCAATACTTTTATTAACTAATCAGCGCATAGTTAACTAATAATACAAGTATTAAACACAAATTAATTAATAATGCAAGTGAATATTAAAC